TAAAATAAAATAAAATAAAATAAAATAAAATAAAATAAAATAAAATAAAATAAAAAACAACAGCAGATGGGATTATTTTAATATTTCAGAACTAACACTGGCTTGGAGAATGAGGAATTCTGGAAGGAACTACAAGGCAAAGCTTCTTGTTGGTTGTTATCCAGGTAGGAGACAGCTTGAGAATTTCAGAGGGAAAAATAAGCAGATGTGATCATCAAGCACAAGGAAAGGGAACATTTTGAAATTAATTGCCTTGGCAGCCACAAAAACTTTGTTTTCTGAAGATTGTGAGGATGTTTCACTGGGTTTAAAAGGGAAAACATTAAAAAGGATTGGTTGAAATATTGCTCACACCCCATAGAAGATCAGAGTTTGGACTTTTTTTTTTTTTAATTTTCCTGCAGGACCAACAATTTAAGAGATGGCAGTGACAGCAAAATCAACTTTGGCTTTTTTGAGTTGTTAAGTCAAGCAAATGTTGCCACACTCACCTGAAAACACACAAAAAAAGTTTTCATGCATTTGAAATGGCATTTTTGGCATTTCTTTAAGTTCACACCATTCTCTTCAGGAAAAAAGCAGGAAAATTCTCATTTTCTGTTCATGAAATGCTTTCTACTTTTAAGTTTTAGAGCAATCTTGAGGAGCATTGCTCAGAAACACCCAAAACTTCAGAACTGAGCAGATTCCCATCTTTATTTTTTTGGGTTTTTTTCCCCTTCTCCCACACAGATTTGCTGCAATTAAGAGAAATTAAGACAACCCAACCCAAAATACAACATTGCAGTGAGACTCAGCGAATTTAAGGAGATTTAAGGATGTGTGTGGAACACATTTACCCAAGGAACAGCTGGTGCAGTTGTTTTTCTGACTGAAAAAAAAAAATCTCCATTCCAAAGCCAAGCTGAGGCTGGATTGTTGAATAAATTGGGGAACAGCAGAGCTTTCACCTGTGGATTATTGATTTGGAGCCAATCTAAATCATTAATGAAATTCAGTGAGAAAACAAAGGAGTCTCTGGGTCTTACAGCAGCTCTCAGAGAGCAAAGATGAGGCAGAAAAGCTGAATTATCTCTTCATCTTTATTAGCTGCTGATTCCAGGTCTGAACTGGGAAATGCAGGGTTTTATGAGGAAATAAATCTTTTTTTTTTTTTATTTTTGCTGTGCCGGTGTCAGGAGCACGTGGGAGAGGAGCAGGGCTGGGACAAGAACAAACACGCAGAGTTTTTTGTTCCACACAGCCCAAAGTGGGAGGAGCTCACACCAAAAAAAACAAACTTTTCCTGACTTAATCCCGACAAGAACTGCTCAGTTCATCCCTGGGAGTGTCCAGCAGCCTGGATTTCCTATTTTCCACAGGGAAATGTGTGGGAATACTGGTGCAAGTCAGTGCCTTGCACAGAGAACAATAAAGCAGCCACAAGAATTTAATGGTGTGGGGGAAAACACTTGATAATAAACCACTGATATAAACCCTCTCCCGTGCTCATTCCACACGAAATTTCCATGATTTTTGCAGATTTGAAAGCTCCTGGACAAAGGTGCAGTTTGGATTCTAAGTGCTCTGCTCTCATCCCCTTTGTCAGCTCTTTAAAAAAAAATGGGGTTTGCAGATAATGAGTGTGGAGCATTTAATAATTCTCATTTCAAATCCACGGGGGAAAAAAAAAAATAAAAATCAGCTCTTCCATTATGGGAACATTATTGGTCTGGCTCCATTCCATGCTGGAGAACAACTCCCAGAGCCAGCAGGAGATGCCAGGAGCTC